AAAATAATTTTCTTGTAATTATTTCTTATTTCTGTTTGTGTGAGCACGGCCGGTTGGAAGATCACCTTTTTTTCTTTTTATATTTTGTACATAATTAATTTTAGTATAGGTGAAATTGTACCGTGTTGAAATATAGTTCATAATAATAATAATAATAATAATAATAATAATAATAATAGCCTTTCAGACTTCAGACTGAACTGATCCCCATGCCGAGAAACGAAAAACCAATTTTATATTATTCTGACACTGCAATAGACCAACAAAAAATTCGTTGGCTCGAGCGGGATTTGAACTCGCTGTCGCATCTTCGGGTATCTAAACCTCACACAACGACTATAATTAGAATTTTTAGTTTTGATTACAATTTTAAAAAATAGAATCTATCCGCACCCTGCATTTTCTATCAAACCATTATTTGCTTGCTAAAACGATGTCCCGTTAATCGCTTCTGGGCCGTAATTTGACATCTTTTAGACAAAGGGTCTATTTTCTATTGGCTGATTTTGGAAATGGTTTCGAATAAGCGTCTCTAATCATCTGAATGCAACATAATTTAATTAATCATGCGCACAAACAAGTTAGGGTCTTCATTACGTCCCATAATCACTGTATTCGCGTACACTTGCGTACATAAATACAAATGTAGGAAATGTTTGTAATGTGGCACCTGTTGCTAGTGATAGTAAAAGGTGGCATCAATACGCGTGCTAGCGCGCGTTATATGAGTTTGGGCTCGGTGCATTGTCCTCCCATGCAGCTAGTCAAAGCCGTCCATCGACTATTATTATGAGGTGTGATATCCGCCAAAATTCATATATTCAATTATGCAATTGGAAATTGCATTTATGAAGTTCAGTTATACTATTATGATATTCGATATTATGTTATTCGAATTCATTCGGTGTGAAACAGTCATTATTGAAATTTCATTCGTTGTGAAACAGTCATTCGGCATTACACTCAGAAACCAAAATTCGACTTCCAGTTTGGCATGGCACTCAGAAATCAAAACTGGACTTCCGGTTTAGCGGGAAATTGTAATTCCACCATGACCGAAGTCGAAGGCAAGTAAAGTCAACAAGACAGAAATATAAGTGTTGTAGACGTATTCATTTGGAAACAACAGTGTTGAGGAACTTAAACATCGGCGACCAGTATGCCCATACAGCGCAAAAAGATTTCTAAAATTCCCCAACACTCTTTCTGAATTTGATGTATTGACGGCAGATGATGTAGTAGCATGCGATTCGCTTTGAGAAATTACATTTGGATTCGCAACTTGTGCTGAAGAAACATCATTTGATGATCCAGGATATTCTCTGATCATTCTTGTTGCTTCTTGCAACAAAGAAACAACACGCTGTTGACTTACATTCCCTTCGCCTTCGGCCATGTTGAAATTACAATTCCCCGCGTGCTTTTCCGGCTACACCGGAAGTCGAATTTTGGTTTCTGAGTGCCATGCCGAATGACTATTTCAGTAATGACTGTTTCACGCAGAACGAAATTCGAATATTATAATATCGAATATCATAATAGCATAACTGAACTTCATAAATGCAATTTCCAATGGCATAATTGAATATATGAATTTTGGCGGATATCACACCTCATATATTAGTGGAGTCCCTGAGGTTAGGGAGGGTGGCATCATAACTGCGATGAATGTGGGATGGGTGTCACCTATGGGCGCAACATTTTTAAGCCAAAAAGATCTTTTCATTGGTCTTTTCAAAGTAGTCCGTTTAATTCTAAGCCAAAAGGATCCTTTCAAAAGGCCTGAATTAGGTTGCATGTTTTATGCTTTTTGGTTTGAAATCCGGCATAATTTTTCAAGAATGGCTGGTTTGTTTTCAGCTGGCGTCGCGCAGGAAAATCGGAAAAGATAAGATAAAAACTTTATTTCAGGTGCGTAACACCTTAGAATATAAACTGGTGGCCTTCAAATGTAGTATCGCTATAGTAAACATGGATAATAACAAAGATTAAGACTGTGATGCATCATATATGCATTGTATCCCCGCTCGTTTATTAACTGAAAGCGCAGATTGCTCCTTCACTTCTCAATAACTCTCTACGTTCTGCGCGCTCACTTTAATAGGGAACTTCATGTAAGTTATTTGTAAATACTTAAGGAGGCTTTGCGGAGGAGAGAGACGTTCTGCCGTATAATTTCAGATTATTTGAATTTGGAAACTATTGCTCCCTTCAGAAATTTTCAAACTCCTAACCCCTCAAAATTATCGGGAATTGCTTGACCCCTCGGAAATTTTTGGAAATTTCTTGAACCCATCGGAAATTTTCGGGAATTTCCTGACCCCATCAGAAATTTTCGGGAATTTCTTCACCCCCCTCAGAAATTTTCGGAAATTTCTTGACCCTCTCAGAAATTATCGGGCATTTCTTGACCCCCTCTGAAATTATCGGGAAATTCTTGACCCCCTCAGAAATTTTCAGGGATTTTCTTGAACCCCTCGGAAATTCTCGTCAACAGGTAGTGCCCCTCAGTCAGAAATTTTCAGAATTTTCCCCGGCCCTTCAGAAATTTAAAAAAAAAATTTGATCCCTTCAGAAATTTTTGTTTTACAACACCCCTCGGAAATTTTCAACTTGGAACCCCCTCAGAAATTTCAGAATTTCAAACCCTTTCGGAAAATCTCGTCAACAGGGGGGTGAGGATATTAAATGGAATGGCCCTTATATAGAGCTCACGTTGGAAATCCAACGTACTATCTGCCGTTAGCTAATCACAGGCCTGAATCAATTCGATTTCTCCAGAGCTATGCCCACCCTTAACCTGCGAACAGGCATGCTCGGGGAACGAGATTGCAGTTTTATAGGCTGCATTAATAGATAGATTGATAAATTTCCTGAATTAAAAGTTTAACGGAGCATCAATACCGCGCCTTGTCCAATTTGAATCACATTTCTAACACCGAGAGTAGCACGACGACTTGGCAAAAGCCACAATTTTCTGGAGAAACCCATCTTAATAGTCATTTGCAAATTGAACTCTTTCATTAGATAGCTTAAGATCTACGACGTCGACGTTAGCTAGGACGTCAGGGCTATGCAGAGGACTGGGACTAGGATGTCGTCCTAATGTAGTCCCAGTCCTCTGCTTAGCTCTGACGTCCTAGCTGACGTCGACGTCGTAGATCCACTGAGCTATACTATATTACTGGAGGACCTGCTCGGGATAAAAAAGTGTCCGCAAAAACATGGCGGATCTTACGCCAGTTCCATGACAACACTTACTTTATTTTCATGGTAATTGCCACTGACCAACCGCGATCCTAAGCTTTCGAAGATATTCTTAACCCCCCTGGTTTTTGCACAGATATATTTAAAATAATAGTAAATATAAAGATATTTCAAGTTTTCTGTTGTTTTTGAGCAAAAATCTTAATATTTCCCTCGCACATTACTTGTTTTACATCGCCAGTTTGCTTCGCTTGTCGATGCAGCACTCAGTAATAAAGAAACTAAAAAGAAAGACTAATTCTTTCAGGTAAGATTCACGAAACTTTTTTTAAACTTTCTAGACGACTAGCTAGTCTGAGAGTGAGACTCTGAGTCGGTCACTAGACCCTTCATATATTATGTCAAAAACTCATCATCCTATTAATATCTACAGCAAATATTTCAATAGGGACATAAAAATATTGTTAATGATTAAATATTGCATGTGTACTACATGAAATTATGTTGTTTTCAGTGTCAGCACTGGCCTTTGTGGTTTTATTGCCAGACAGAGACTGACAGTTTTTAATTACTTGTATAAATTGTGGTTTTTTACATGTTCATAAAGGTTTAATATGGTGTGAAATTTATATACTTGCCCATCATAATGCAGAATTAATATATATAGATAGCACAAGAGTCCAGAGAGACTTGAGTAGAGGAGGCCCACCTACATTTGACAATGTGCCCTGTCCTGATGAGCCCTATATAAAAGACTTTATTGTTTTACTCTGTCTAATGCCAGATGATTTTAAGAGGAGACTGTTCATGCTCACTGCTGCCTCGCAGTGGGTTAATTTAATACATTATCTGCCAATGAGCAACCCCTGAGATATATCGGTCAGCCCTAACTGGGGGGCATGCTCCCCCCCCCCCCACTTTTTCGGTGGATAATAAAAATTACCGGATAAAGTCTGGACAGCGCCTGCCTGTGTGGATTAGCTCCCATGCTATCCTGCCCCTCCCCCTTTTAAACAGGCTCCACGGTCCCTGTTTTATTTTACTCTATCGGTGAGACTAAATCCAGATGTTTTACTCATCAAGGGAAGAGTCTTAAAAAATAGATAACATTTTATCATTGTCTGTTCAGAACTATATAAAACTATGTAGTTTACACAGTATATGATGTCATAGTTTGGAAGTGGTGATGTCCGATGCTCTGTGAGAAATTATGACAAAATTTGCTAATAATAGTTTGACATATTTTAGCAGTTAGTTTGGAATGTAATTGCATTGCTGAATATGAAAACATGACACTTAATTTAGAAGCTCGGATCAATGGACTGTTGAATTGTCTGAAACAATACAGTAGGGCAAAAATAATACAGTGAGGCACATCAAAACACATTGCCACTTGAAGGGTTAAGTATGTCTATATGATATTTTGTGGTATAATGTATCATGATAATAATGTCGTCTTTTTTTGCAGAAATGATCTGTTTAATATACAAAAGAGATGGCACAGACATCAACATGCAGAGGAACATGCAGAACAATTACAAAATGAAGTTATAATTACAATACCATGCATAACAATTAATTATAATTAATAAATAATTATATGATTATCATAATTTTATTGAAGTGTAAATAAGTTTTATAGCAATTAAAATTATGCATTTTTGTTTTTTGAATTGTTTACTGCCAATAATTTTACAAAAAGTCAAATAGACCCTTCCAGAATGTGTATGTACTTTGGCTATGGAGCCTTGTTTTCATGAATGTGGCATGAGTTTTAGTCCAATGTCTCAATCATGAAAATGACTCTACAGCCTATAGCCAAGGTGACATAATTTCTGGAAGCATGTAAAATACAGTATGTTCAGTTTCCAAAAATATGGCTTGGTACTGTATTTTGCCACCCACGAAGGAGTGTGTCATTGTGGAATAAATCTGCAATAAAAAGAATAGATTAATTATACAGGTTGTACAAGAATCCACCAGTAACATAATTATAGCATGTGATCATGATCAAGGTAAACAAAAGAATGTGACCTAACATACTCCTCAGCTTAAACCAGGGGTATCAGAACTATGAGTGTACTTATAAAGGTACATTGTTTATTCAGAGTGATATTTACTGAGAAAACTTGTAAGAAAACAGGCCATCCTGGGAATGAGGTGCGATCACACATGTATGCCTTGGCACACACCTCAGCTAAACCTTATTACCTCAGCTTAGGGAGAAGTGTGATTTATCTCAAGTCTCTACAAGACTATTTAGATGACACAAAAATCAAGAAGTATCCCCAACCAGGCAACCATGCAAGAAAGCTAGGTAGAAACCACCAATTCCCAGAACAGCTTGACAGCTTCCAGCACCCCCAGCTTATACATAAAATTAAGTGGTGCATAACACAAAACTTAATTCCCTCTTTTAAAAGATAGTCTGATAGTAGATGTCAAATAAGATACAAAAGTCTAAATAAAATTGAATATGAAAATACGTTTTTTACCTTTGTAAATCCGAGTGTAAATCCATATATTTCAAGTATCGTCTTTTCCCACATTTCTTGAGTTTTTAAAATTAGTTTGTCGTCTTTCACGGGCGAGATTAAACACGTACGACTTGGATATCTTTGACCAAATGCTCAAAGGCAGAAAGTTTATCTCCAAAACATTTTAAAAAAGGATTCAAAACAACGAGAAGTCGAGAACTATAATTTATCTGCAAAAATGTTTTGCAAAAACCAGGGGGGGGGGTGAAAACGGCCGTGGGCTCAGAATTGAGCCTGGTCAGTGGTACCTACCATGAAAATAAAGTAAGTGTTGTCATGGAAATGGCGTCATTTTCACTCAAAATACGCCATGTTTTTGCGGACACTTTGTTGACTGAACGAAGTATAGGAGCAGGTCCTCCAGTTATTATACAGCTCAGTGCGTAGATCTTGAGCTATCTATTGACTCTCACGCATTCTCACGTCCGTGAACTAAGGGGCGGACCATTAGAAAAGTGATGGGGGGGGGGGGAAACAAAAAAAAATTCGTGCAAGACAAATTAACTTTAAAAAAAATTCCTGCATGATCAAATTCGAGGAAAAAAAATCCTGCAGAGCGCAATGAAAAATATAATTAAATCATTGTTGGCGAGATTGTTCATTGTTGGAAAACAGGGCCAAGCTTTATTTTATTCTGGACTTGCAATCTGCG